AATCCATTCCACCTTTTCAACCCTGCTCAATCATTTGCTCCCTCCTCTTTTCTAATTTTGGCTATTGTAATGGCATATGGACAACTATCAGCTGATGAAAGGAAAAGACAATTGCACCAATATATTAAGTTACCTGGTCTGTAATCTATTCATTTATTTATTGAGACATAGTCTCGCTCGGTTGCCAGGCTGGAGTGCAGTGGCACAATCTTGGCTCACTGTAACCTCCGCCTCCTGGGTTCAAGCTATTCTCATGCCTCAGCCTCCCAAGTAGCTGGGACTACAGGTGCACGCCATCATGCCCAGCTAAATTTTGTATTTTTAGTAGAGATGGGGTTTTACCATGTTGACCAGGACGGTCTTGATCTCTTGACATCATGATCTGCCCACCTCAGCCTTCTAAAGTGTTGGGGTTACAGGCGTGAGCCACCGTGCACAGCCATTATTTATTTATTTATATAGAGGCAGAATTTCACTCTGACACCCAGGCTGGCATGCAGTGGCACAGTCATGGCTCACAGCAACCTTGAACTCCTAGGTATCCATGAAAGCCTCCCAAGTAGTGGAGACTGTAGTGGGTCATACCACCAAGCCCAGCTACTTTTTAAAATTTCTCCTAGAGATGCGGTTTTGTTATGTTGTCCAGCCTGGTCTGAACTCTGGCACTCAAGTGCTCCTCCTGCCTTGGCCTCCCAAAGTGGTGGAATAAGCATGACCCACTGTACTCAGTCAGTAATTTATTTTTAAATTGTAATTCCAGGAGACTAGGGTATACTTGGACTTTCTATGATAGGAATGTAAGAGAATTCAAGTATGCAAATGTGGTAACTTTAATCAGTTTTCAATGAACAGTCATTCACTATGAAGATGATAAGCTATAATTACACATTGCCTTATATAATCTCAACACACAAAGTAGCAATGTTACAATGTTTAATAATTAAAGTTTCTTTATTATTAGTAGTACTTATCAAATTATTTTACATAAGTTTTTTTATAGTTCTTTGTAATTCACCATTATTAAGACATATACTTAGAATTGTTTCTTCTGTCCTAAAGGTTCAAAATAATGTCTCAACCTTCCCTTCTAGCCTCAACTGTTGTTAAGCCTCTTTGCTTCCATACCTCAAATTACTTGCCTTTCTCTGATTTTCTATGCAGTAGCAATGCTACCCCTAAAGTCCTCCCCTATTATTCTGTTGCTTTAAAGCCCCAGGAAACTTCACTTCATCCATAAAAGCTCCCAGGTCCCCCCAGGAATGATTCATCATCTTTGCACCCATATCCCTATATCATTTACCCAAAGTTTCTTTAATACTATTTATTAATAATATATAGTACTAATCGGAGCGTTTTGAGGACTAGAATTGAATTTTGTTTATTCTTATTTTACTTTGCTTTAGTCTTTCCTAATGCCTAGAACAGTGACTTGAACAAAGGAGATGTTCCACATTTTCATTGCACGAGTAAAGGAGGGTTGGTGTATACCTGTCGATAATCTCCAGCCAACAGTAGCCAATGGCACTTATTACTGAGATAATTAACTGGAATGCAGCTTATGGCCAGAAAGAGTATTTTCACGGTGAATATAGCTCAAAATAACCAAATCTATGATTTTAAATGTTAAGACCATAATCCAAATAAAAGAACTATCCATGTGTGAAGTTAAGACAAAGGACTGATCATCTTGATTCTAAAGGAAAATACATAAAATTGTATCGTGAATATCAATGGTAGATAGAAATGATATTCTGTCAGTTTTCTTAAAATAACTGAACAATCACATGAACATACCTTTTCTGAAGATATTCATTAAATATTGAATCATCAAGGGCTTGAAACTAAACTTCATCTGATGCTCACCAAGAAGACATTAAACAAATCATGACAAAGTGAGTAACAATTTCAACTTCTATAGACTTTTTAAGAGTCTTTTTGATTACACAACGTCAGCCGCCTCATAAAATTCTATTAGACCTCTTTGGGCTTTCTATATTGCTTCCATCTAAAGGTTGCTTCAATTTCTCAGACTAGACTTTTACAAAGCCTGAAGATTGTTTGTCTTTTGTATTTTCTAAGTGCCTGATAATCAAATTTTCAATGTAATGGTAATGAGAGGCAGAAGTAGAATTAATCTATACAAAGCAAAACTAAGGTGAAAATTAACCATGATTCATAATTCTCAAGTCTCTGTCTACACTCCTAAGCCTTTACCTGGGTTCTAGAAGAAAATCCTCACCTACTAACTACACATTTCTACTTTAACTACGCCAAGTTCACCATGCCCAGATGACACTCCCTGAAACAAGCCCTCCTTCTCCATCCAATTTTCTCGCAGAATTTACTTAGAGGCAGGATTTCACTCTGACACCCAGGCTGGCGTGCAGTGGCATGATTATGGCTCACACCAGTCTTGAATTCCTAGGTATTCGTGAAAGCTTCCCAAGTAGTTGGTCATGCCATTGTGCCCAAATAATTGGTTAATTAGTTCATTAGTCTCTCAGTCACAGAGGGCATGTATAATGGTAGTTGTGACCATCAATTCTCATTTACCTTTTCATTTTTTGCCACATAATCGTTAGGGTTCATCTTCAAAAGTTCTCTTCTTTATTTTATTTTATTTATTTATTTTTGAGATGGCGTCTTGCTCTTGTCACCCAGTCTAGAGTGCAATGGCACGATCTCAGCTCACTGCAACCTCCACCTCCCATGTTCAAGTGATTCTCCTGCTTCAGCCTCCTGAGTAGCTGGGATTACAGGCATACACCACCACACCCAGCTAATTTTGTATTTTTAGTAGAGACAGGGTTTCTCCATGGTCAGGCTGGTCTTACACTCCTGACCTCAGGTGATCCACCCGCCTCAGCCTCACAAAGTGCTGGGATTACAGGTATGAGCCACTGCACCCAGCCAACAGATCTATTTCTACAGCAAACCTATCTTGCTCCCAGGTAGCCAGCATCATTTCCTTTGGGAAACTACCCCTTTTGGATTTGAAATGAGGTTGTCAAGCACAGTATCTCACCCCATCCCCACTGAGAAACCAGCATGTGACCTGTGGCCTGTCAGTTCACAGTGTCTCATCCCTTTAGTAAATGCCATTGGTTAAAGGGGTAGGTTTATACTGCAGTGGGACCAATCAGAATTCCCTTCTTGAAATTCATAATTAGATATTAGAATAAATACTCTACTAGAATTGCTAATCCAGGAATAACTGAATTTGCAACTACCAGCAGCATCTTCCCAGTTATATGTGGGGAATCTATTTAGAGTAGAAAGAGATCAAACCAGAGAAGGCATGAGAGCCAATATGGAAAGACGGAGAGTTTTGACATTGTTGAGTCCCTGGAGCCAGACAGGCTCAAAGTCTACGCCATCCCTGGAATTGCCAGTTAGATGAGTCAAATTTCAAAATTCAGACTCTACAAGCTACTTAACCTTTCTGTGCCTCACTTACCTCATCTATAAAATGGAAGGTACATTAGTACCTACCTCACAGAGAGTTACATGAGAATTAGCATTGTAAATGTTCAAAAAATATGAGCAATAACCATTAAGCGCCAGTTAATTGTTATTTATTTTTTGAAACAGAGTCTCTCTCCGTTGCCTAGGCCGAAGTGCAGTGGCATGGTCTCAGCTCACTGCAACCTCCACCTCTTAGATTCAAGTGATTCTCCTGCCTCAGCCTCCTGAGTAGCTGGGATTACAGGCACAAGCCACCATGCCCAGCTAATTTTTTGTATTTTTAGTAGAGACAGGGTTTCACCATGTTGGCCAGGCTGCTCTTGAACTCCTCGTGATCCACTCCCCTTGGACTCCCAAAGCACTGGGATTACAGGCATGAGCCACTGTGACCTGCTGCCAGTGAATTCTAATGGTATTTGATCTACTTTGAATTGGGGTCTTGTCACAGCAGAAAGAGTACAGATAAGAGGGCTTCGATTTTAAAAACATGCTTGGAGGTCATTCTTCCCCTGCCTTTGCGTTATCACCCCCATGAGATTCCTGGAGCAACATTTCAGCTGGCTTGTCTGACCACTTCACACTCTACAATCCACCTGAATCACTAGTGTCAGGACAATCTGCACTAAGCATCACTCATCATGGAATGTCCTTGCTCCAATTTCTGTTCAGATTCCTCTTCCTGGTTTCCCAGATCCCACTTTAATTGTCCAACGAACCACTTCTCTCCCTAGCATTCTGGCCAGCCTGATATCCCGCCTTTTACAAGATCATGCCTTGCCAATTCACGTCCTGCCTTTCCTTCAGTCATCACCCTATCAGCCCATCTTTTTTTCCCTGTAGATAATCAGCTGCAATTATTCCTTGATGCAAGTTCTGCCCCCTCCATATCTCCCTGGCCATTGTGGCTGTCACTGCTTTTATTCTCCTTTTATTCCAAGTCATCTTAAATTCTGTAACATGCAATCACAGATTATCCCATATTCAGATGGGCGTAACCCAACTAGAATGTGAAGTTTTCAGGTTAGATTTTTTTGGCATGTCTCCTAACTCAGCCTCAAAATAAATATTTTTTATAAAGTCCAACCGTAATGCTAACCATTCTTTTTTTGTGTGAGACCGAGTCCTGCTCTGTCACCCAGGCTGGAGTGCAGTGGTATGATCTCTGCTCACTGCAACCTCCGCCTCCTGGGTTCAAGTTATTCTTGTGCCTCAGCCTCCTGAGTAGCAGGCATTACAGATGTGTGCCATCATGCCTGGCTAATTTTTGCATTTTTAGTAGCGACAGGGTTTCACCATGTTGGCCAGGCTGTCTCGAACTCCTGACCTCAGGTGATCTGCCCACCTTGATCTCCCAAAGTGCTGGGATTACAGGTGTGAGCCACTGCACCCAGCCATTCCTGTTACTTAAATTTGGTAGTTTTGAGAGAATTTGTTTCAGATTAACATAACTTTTACTGTAGTTACCTAATCTTAATTCAAAAACTCAATTCTGAGAAGCACCCAAATACTTAAATGACAAAATAAGGCAATAAGGCAATTTTAAGACAGTTACATGTCTTGATTACAATAATATTTCTCATAGGAGTTGGTCTTCGGTTTGCTTGTTGCTTTTGCAGAATGTCAAGTATCTATAGAAAATGTCTAATTATATATGAAACAAACATTCCCCTGTCCCCCCTCCAAAAAATCTCACTCCCTACAATTCCCAACCAGATTCCTGAGAAAAATAATAGGATTTGTTTATTTTATAGTGCCATACATAAATTTTCTTTCAAGATATAAAAAAAACCAGACTTCTAAAACATGAGTCTCCTTTTGCTTACAAAGTTCTATAAAAACACATTAAGTATGCTCAAATGTTTGTTCTTTCACTTTATATCCAGTTTACCAGACACGAAAAATGGCAGTACATCGAGACAGGTGAGCCACATTAATCTTGCAGCAATACAATGTCAACATCATCATGAACACCCTGCAGAAGCAGCTCTCCTGGATACGTTACAATCTTCCTTCGTTTTGCGGCTTTGAGAGTTCCGACCAATGCTTCAAAGAGGTTGGCACATTTGTCGTCTCGGAAGAGGACCCCAAATTTCACACTTAACTTTCCGTCAGCATCTAATTTGAGAAAAGACATTGTTAGCAAATGCAAAGTCTGTTTCTTACCCTCAAGTTTGGCATATTTACAAAGTCTTTACTACACTTCTAACGATGGGCTATGCAAGATTACAGTTTAACACTTAACAGTCATAAATTCAACATATTCTTGGCCGGAGGTGGTGACTAACACCTGTAATCCCAGCACTTTGGGAGGCTGAGGCAGGTGGATCACCTGAGTTCGAGACCAGCCTGACCGACGAAAAATTCCATCTCTACTAAATATACAAAATTAGCCAGGCATGGTGGTGCACGCCTGTAATCCCAGCTACTCAGGAGGCTGAGGCAGAAGAATCACTTGAACCTGAAAGGGAGAGGTTGTGGTGAGCTAAGATCGTGCTATTGCTCTCCAGCCTGGGCAACAAGAGTGAAACACCATCTCAAAAATGAAACAAAACAAACAAAAAAACCCACATATTATCTTCCCAGACCCAAAAAGTAATGGAATAAATACAACATGTTATACACCTCTTAGCCTTTGGATTATCCAGACGAAGACTGAGAACCAAGAAACATTTATGAAATTTGGATGTGCTACAGTGCTAATACTTTAGATGAATTTATCTCTTTGTATTTATTAATTTTATGTGAGTTTTTGAATCAATAAAGACTACAAATAAAAGAGAAAACCAGGATCAAGAGCAGTGCTTGTCTAAGTGTGTTCTGAACACTCGGAATCCCCAGGGCAGGAGTGGAGGTGCCTTAAAAACGCATAATCGTCAATCCTTCATCAGGACCAACAAATCTGAATTCCTTGCTAGTAGACTCAGAAATCTGTATTTAATATGAGCCCTAGACTATCTTATTTGGAAGCCAGTTTTGAACACAGACATTGAAAGTTAAGATAGACCAAAAGTGGATCTGCTGTTAACAATCAATAACCTGAAAACTTGGAGACAAGAGTAATCTGGGAGACATATCCTCAGGTGATTCCTCTGATCACTTGACAGAATCCCTGACCTCTTCCTCCCCCTCTACTGCAGGTTCTTCCCTTCCAAAGCTACACCCACTGTCAGGAGGATGATCATCCAGTGAGGGGAGAATCATTCCTTGCCCAAAGGCTCTTGAGTTCCCATGGCTAGAACTTCCAACTGGATGCTTGGCAAACTCCTACTGTGAGCACAGCACTGTTAGACACTAGAGGCAGATATAAGGAAGCAGAGAATCACTTTCTAGCTTTCAAAGCAATGACTTTGATTCCCATGGAGAAATAAGAAATGTACACATAACAAGTAAAGCAACAGCACAAAGCAGTATATGGCTGGATACCAAATGAGTAGCAAAGAAAATACATCCTGGCCGAGTGCAGTGGTTCATGCCTGTAATCCCAGCACTTTGGGAAGCCAAGGTCGGAGGATACCTCAGGCCCAGAAGTTTGAGACCAGCCTGAGCAACATAGTGAGACCATGTAAATAGCTCGGTGTAGTGGAGTGCACCTGTGATCCCAGCTACTCAGGAGGCTGAGGCAGAGGATTTTTTGAGCTGAGGTGTTCAAAGCTGCAGTGAGCCACGATCATGCTAGTGCACTTCAGCCTGGGCAACGGAGTGAAACCCTGTCTCAATAAAAAAAGACGAAAAACATATATATATGTTTTTAAATATATTTTAAATATATATACTTTTTTATAGTTTGGAGGAGCACAAGACATCTTTGGCAAGAATGGTAAGAAAATGCCTCATGGAGGAGGCAGTACTTCTTCTGGACTTTAAAGGAGACAAAAACCTGGAGCTTTTTTCTTTTTCCTCATCTTCATTGTGATGATATACATGGAGCTTTTTGAAAACCTAACAGTCCTCAGTTGAAATCTCTGCCACCTACTAGTTGTCTGGCCTTGGGCAACTTGTTTAAAGCTCCCTAAGCCTTGGCTTCCTCTTGTGTAAAATGGGAACCTGAACATCCTCTTCTCAGTGCTGCCAGGAGACACAGTTGGAAAGCACTCAGCACCGTGCCTGGCATATACTGAGCATTCAGCACTGTGCCTGGCACTTGCTGAGCATCCAGCACTGTACCTGGCACACACTGAGCACCCAGGATCATGCCTGGCACACACTGAGCACCCAGCACCGTGCCTGGCATATACTGAGCATTCAGCACTGTACCTGGCACACACTGAGCACCCAGGATCATGCCTGGCACGCACTGAGCACCCAGCACCATGTCTGGCACACACCGAGCACCCAGGACCATGCCTGGCACACACTGAGCACTCAGCACCATGCCTGGCACACACTGAGCGCACCATCAGCAACCAGGGGCTCTGATGTGACTGAGACAAATGGGGTGCGTGTGCAAAGCCACAGGCAAAGCTGAAAACGAGTAAGGTGACTGAGGGAACAGTGACCAGCATGAATAGTTTACTTACCTGAAGTAGATCATCTAAGATGAGAAGGAGGATGAAAGACGTTGTAAAGGGAAAACAGGGAATCTGACCATGTCTGGCCTGGAAAGCAAAGATGCAGCTCTGGATTTTTAAACTTCTACCTGCATGACACGCTGTGTGCAATGGGAACCTGTCACTGATTACAGACAGAAGTGGAGCTGCTGGTAACCTCAGGCAAGGCCTCCGAGCTCTCTGAGTTTCAGGTATTCATCAAATGAGGGTAAAAATACATCTCATAGGGTTGTTGCAAGGATTAACAGACACAGTAAGGATAAAGCCTTTTATAGAGTGCCCAGCATAGAGTAAATTCTCAACTTTGATTAAAATTTTTAAAGGCACCAAAGGCAGAAACCTGAGGATAATCTTGGAGTTCTAAAGCCCCCTCACCCTCAATCTGACAAATGTTTGGGTGATTCCACCTTCTTTGTGCCTTGGGTAGCTACTGCCTCTCCTCTCCAGTGACAGTTAATCCCCTGGCTCAGGCCTAAGTGTTTCTCACCTGCATCACTGCAAGCTGCTGAGAACTCCGTACCAGCCTCCTTTTCTGCATTTTTGCCTCTCAATACATCCTCCACATGGATGTGAAAGAAAAAATGTGGAAGAAACTTTATGAGATGCAAAGCTCACTGCTAGTCTTCTACTTTAATCCCTCTTTTTCTTTGAGAAAGGGTCTCAATCTGTTGCCCAGGCTGGAGTACAGTGGTGTGATCATAGCACACTGCAACCTTGAACTGCTGGACTCAAGAGATGCTCTTGAGCCTTCCAAGTCTCCCACGTAGCTGGGACTACAAGCACGCGCCACCACACCTAATTTATTATTTTTAGTAGAGACGAGGTCTCGAACTCCTGGGCTCAAGCAATCCTCCCACCTCGGCCTCCCAAAGTGCTGGGATTACGGGCATGAGCTACCTTATCAAGTCTACTTTAATATGTCAATGGCTCCCTATGACTTTATAAATAAAGGAAACTCCATGGCCCCAAAGAAGAAGCTCTTCATCCTCTGGCCTTGCATCCATCGCTTGCCTGGTCTTCTGCCATGTCACTCCATGTACCCTCTGATCCAGTCACAATGACCTGCTTGCTGTGCCCAAGATGACATGATGGATCCCTTCTTTGTAACAATGCCCATGTTTAGCTGTCTGCCCAGAAACCCAGACATTTTTTCCTAAATTCTTTTTCTTCAGGAATGAATTCAAATGCCACCTTTTCTAGAAGTCCTTCATGAGCCCGTCAGTTGAGTGAATAGCTCTTCTTAAAAAACTGAGTACATATCTATCAAAGCACTCACCATCAATTACAGTATTAATAGCTAACATTTACTGAGTACTTGCTATGATCCTAGAACTGTTCAATGCATTTTACAGTCATTAAAATTCACTTATTCTGTATTTCATGGAAGATAAGACACAATTGATTGCAAGAAGTATCATTATTTTATATTATAATTAAACTGCCAATTTAACCATAGCATGCCATGTACTGTAAGATGCATTTTTATTTTAGAGATTTTTTTTTTTTGAGACAGAGTTTCATTCTTATTGTCCAGGTTGGAGTGGCTCGCTGTAACCTCTGCCTCAGAGGTTCAAGTGATTCTCCTGCCTCAGCCTCCCAAGTAGCTGGGATTACAGGCACCCACCATGAAGTCCAGCTAATTTTCGTATTTTTAGTAAAGGCAGGATTTCACCTTGTTGGCCAGGCTGGTCTTAAACTCCTGACCTCAGGCAATCTATGCATCTTGGCCTCCCAAAGTGCTGGGATTACAGGCATGAGCCACTGCACCTGGCCCATTTTAGAGACTTTTTAATATGAAAAATGACTTTCCACTAGGTACTTCCAGTTTGTCTGTCTTTCAGCTACCTAAAGAGGACCTCGAGGACAGAGATGGCATTTTGTTCATTTTTGCATCGCCAGCACTTGAGCACAAAGGGGAAACTCAAGAAAAATTTGTGAATGAAAGAATTTAAATATCCAAGTGATCTCTCTCCATTTAATCTTTTTTCACTATATGAAAAATGATACGTTAAAGAATTTGACGTTGAATGAAACAGACAAAACTTAATTCATCAGTTTTCATCTCGAGCTCATATATCATATGTAGATTAAAGCAAAATGACTCCAGATACTACTTCAATAATTAACCATAACATGTCCAAAGATAACACATCTCTCTATATGCTTTCCAAATCAGTAAGTTATCTTTTGCCAGTAATGAGAAAGTCAAGCTGTCCTGATGAAGCTGCAAAATTAAAAGTTATTTCCATGCTTATAGAAGTTACGATAATTACCTTAAGTCTTCTAATGTGAAAGCTGCTAATTTTGAAGTGGAATTTCAGTTTGCCTTGCCAGAATGATGACACTCTCTTAGCAGTATAAAGATTAGAATTTTAAAACTAATTGAATATGACCAATAAACACAAGGCTGACATGGATAAAGAAAACAAAATCCTACAGATCTTTGGAAATATGCCTTTAACACCTAGAATGATCCAAACAATAGCAATGCTCAGCCGGGTCTGCTGGTTTACGCCTGTAATCCCAGCACTTTGGGAGGCCAAGGCGGGTGGATCACATGAGGCCAGAAGTTCGAGACCAATCTGGCCAACATGATGAAACCCTATCTCTACTGAAAATACAAAAATTAGCCAGGCATGATGGCGGATGCCTGTAATCCCAGCTACTCAGAAAGCTAAGACAGGAGAATCGCTTGAACCCGGGAGGCAGAGGTTGCAGAGAGCCAAGATCACGCCACTGCACTCCAGCCTGGGAGACAGAGCAAGACTCTGTCTCAAACAACAAAAAAAAGGAACTTTAAAAAAAAAAAGAAAAAAACAATAATAATGCTGCCAAGAGTATGATGACCTCACTGAGCTCAGGAAGAATCAGGAATGTGGGAGGAGGAACCCAAGGAAGGGCATCGCTATTGAAAATAACACTCATCAGGACTCTATCAAGTGGATGTGGTGAAGAGGGTGGGAGAAAAATTGAGTTAGGGAAGATTGTTGATTTGTTTGATTAGGAAACTAAATATATTATGGCCAGACGAAGTGGCTCACGCCTGTAATCCTAGCACTTTGGGTGCACTGAGGCAGGCAGATCACTTGAGAAAAGGAGTTTGAGACAAGCCTGACCACCATGGTAAAACCCCATTTCTACTAAAAATACAAAAATTAGCCAGGCCTGGTGGCGGATGCCTGTAATACCAGCTACCAGGGTGGCTGAGGCATAAGAATCGCCTGAACCCAGGAGACAAGAGGTTACCGTGAGCCAAGATGGTGCCACTGCACTCCAGCCCGGGCGACAGAGCGAGTCTCCGTCTCAAAGAAGAAAAAAAGAAACTGGCCGGGCGCGGTGGCTCAAGCCTGTAATCCCAGCACTTTGGGAGGCCGAGGCGGGTGGAATCACGAGGTCAATAGATCGAGACCATCCTGGTCAACATGGTGAAACCCCGTCTCTACTAAAAATACAAAAATTAGCTGGGCATGGTGGCATGTGCCTGTAATCCCAGCTACTCAGGAGGCTGAGGCAGGAGAATTGCCTGAACCCAGGAGGCGGAGGTTGCGGTGAGCCGAGATTGCGCCACTGCACTCCGGCCTGGGTAACAAGAGCGAAACTCCATCTCAAAAAAAAGAAAAAGAAAGAAACTGAATAAATTACATTTTCCAATGTCTTCTCGGTGTTCTCTACAAACAACACATTCATTCCCATTCCAAAATCAACTCATGCATTTCCCCCTAAACTGACCTGCCTTACACTTCAAAGTCCTACCTGAGATGCAAGGCTTAACTGAGTGCCCCTAACTGCTACAACTTCTAATAACTGATTTTGATGAGACCACACTGCATGTCAGCACTTTATAGTTCAGCATACCTTTTTTTCCCTGATAATCGCCTCATCAGTTTTTTATTGTTTTTGTTTTGAAACAAGGTCTCACTCTGTCTTCCAGGCTGGAGTGCAACAGCTTGAACATGGCTCAGTCCAGCCTTGACCTCCTGAGCTCGTGCAATCCTCCTGCCTCAGCCTCCAGTATAGCTGGGACCGCAGTTGCATGCCACCATGCCTGGCTAAATTTTTATTTTCTTGTAGAGACGGGATCCCACTTTGTTGCCCAGGCTGGTCTTGAATTGCTGGGCTTAAGTGATCCTCCTACCTCGGCCTCCCGATGTGGTAGGATTACAGGCATGAGCCATGACATCTGGCCTATGAGATTTTATCTATTTTCATCAACTAAGTAGTAAAATTATTGAGGAAAAGGAACATACTTTATACCACTTGTGCTATACAGTGATTAGCATATATAGATACTCAATAAGTATTAACTTATCATATGATTTGACTCACTTGGTTGTTAAGTCCACACCAAATTTAATATGCCTCATTTATCTTTTCTTGGTACATTTCAGTAATGATGACTCGGGTTTGATATAGAGTGACTAAGACAAAAAAGAGGGAGTGGTAGGAAGAATAAAGGCCCCCGAAGATATCCATGTCCCAATCCCTAGAATCTGTGAGTATGTTACCTTACATGGCAAAAGGGACTTTTCAGATGCAATTCAAGTAAGGACCCTATAACAGGGAGAGTATCCTAGATTATCTGGGTGAGCCCAGTGTAATCCAAAAAGACCTTAAAACAGCAGAGGGAGGAAGGGCAGGCACAGTGGCTCACACCTGTAATCCCAGCACTTTGGGAGGCTGAGGCAGGTGGATCACTCGAGACCAGGAGTTCAAGACCAGCCTGGGCAATGTGGCGAAACTCCATCTCTTTTTCTGTTTGTTTTTGAGACAGAGTCTCTCCCTGTTGCCCAAGCTGGAGTGCAATGGCACAATCTTGGCTCACTGCAGCCTCTGCCTCTCAGGTTCAAGCGATTCTCCTGCCTCAGCCTCCTAAGTAACTGGGATTACAGGAATGGGCCACCAGGCCTGGCTAATTTTTTTTTTTTCCTGTATCTTTAGTAGAGACGGGGTTTCACCATGTTGGCCAGGCTGGTCTCGAAGTCCTAACCTCGTGATCTTCCCACCTCAGCCTCCCAAAGTGCTGAGATTACAGGCATGTGCCACCATGCCCAGCCCATGGAACACCATCTCTATTAAAAATACGAGAAATTAGGCCAGGTGCGGTGGCTCACACCTGTAATCCTAGCACTTTGGGAAGTGAGGTGTTGGATGACCTGAGGTCAGGAGTTTGAGACCAGGCTGGCCAACATGGTGAAACCCCATCTCTACTAAAAACACAAAAATTAGCCAGGCAAGGTGGCAGATACCTATCATCTCAGCTACTAGGGAGGCTGAGGCAGGAGAATCGCTTAAACCCAGGAGGTGGAAGTTGCAGTAAGCCAAGGTTGCACCACTGCACTCTAGCCTGAGTGACAGAGTGAGACTCTGTCTCAAAAGAAACATAAAAGGAAAAAGTGGAGGAGGTCAGAGTGATGCAATGTGTGAACTCCATCAGCTGTTGCTGGCTTTGAAGACAGAGAAAGGGGGCCATGAGCCAAGGCAAGGGAAAGGCAAGGAAACTGATTCCCTCCTGGAACCTATTGAAAGGAGTCCCCTGCCAACACCTTAATCTTACCCCAGCAAGACCTTTGTCAAACTCCTGACCTACAGAACTCTTAAGATATTAAATGTGTTGTTTTCCATCATAAAATTTGTGGCAGTCTGTTACAGAAGGAACAGAAAACCACTGCAGAGGACATTTGATATTGACGGCTTAATGGAATTTTCCATGTGTCCTGTTACGTCAAAGGATTTGTGATTCATAAACAGAGCTTTAAGAAGAATCAAACTATAATGACACAAGTCTTGAGAGCTTGTGAGATACTTTCTAGAACTGTTTTTCACTTACATGATGTAATTTTGAGTTCCATTATTCTAGTTGTTGCTGAATGTCTATTATTCTTATTATTTTCAAAATACTCCCCAAATTCTTGCATATCTCGTCTGAGATGTACCGAATACCTAAAGCCACAAGTATAACAGTAATTTTCATTATGAGTTAGGAATAAGACACTAATATTACCAATTCTGCATGTCACTATCTTCAAGGAAGCTGTCTAGTTATTGCTGAAAAAAAAAAGATAATTTTTCTTAAATACTACCTAAAGGTTAATTTATTTTAGTTATATGTACTTAAATACCTGATTATACAAAACTCAAGAATCTGGAGAAAATAAAGACAATTTAGTATAATTTCAAGTCCCTAGTCATTTAGAAGTTTGTAAAATGATGACATTTTAGACAAGATGATAAGAAAAAGAAGTTTGTAAAATGATGGCGGAACAAGGCAGGAAACATGAATTTTTATAGCATGACAAGTAAAAATTCGAACATGATTCAATTACCAAATTTCAATGCAGTCAGAAGAAGCTTGGTAATTTGCTTTCTATTGAAAAAATAATGAAATATCTCAATCATTCTCTGCATTAGAATCACAACACCCTGATAGCCCCATGTCTCCAGATGTCACTTCTTGGCTAAGGGCAGTTACCACCTGGGGCTGTGGGCAGAGCTGCCATACCTGTGTCCTGAAGCCCTGCGTGACCTTCCTAGGCTTCTCCAGTATGCCAGTCTCACCAGTTCCAAGGTAAAGCCAGGAGAAATACTCTGTCTCTGTTAGATACTTACTTTTGAACCCAAACGATGAATTTCCTCCACTAAGAGGTTAACCTCATGATCCACATTCATTGCTGCCTGGAATAGAAAAAGAAGTGTAAATTATCACCATTACCTTCCATTAAGCACATCCAAATCCAAGGGCCCTTTGTCTTGTTCATGTCGCACTTGTCACTATTAATTTACCCTGTCTCTTTTCCTAAAAATATTTGTGTGATGCATGTGACACTGAAGTGTCCCCATTTTCCCTCCACCTTTGTGACCACCCCCTTGGCTGCCTGCACTCCTGTTCTCCATGTCTGTGGAGGAGAATACAGCCATTCTCCTTGCACCCACGATTCACTGTGAGCAGGTCTTATTCACGGTGCCCTGCTAGGCAAAAATTTTTTTAAAAGGTGCGTAGCACAGGATCTGCCCTCAGGGAGCTCATCTTCTAAAGGCAGACAAAGGCCTGCGATGAAGAGCAATGTGACAAATACTCTTTGAGTGGTGGGTCCCCGGCATATGGAAGCACAAAGGAGGAAGCAGCAGGAGGCTTCCTGGAGGTCACTGGGGAGAAGTGGACCAGCCAGGCAGGTGAAGGGCATTCTATACAGGAGGAAGTGCATACGCAAAGCAAGGAAGCAAAGGAGAAAACGCAGAACACGCTAGAGGCAGGCCTAAGCTAGGGGCTGGGCACCCCAGGACAAATTGGCACACGCTCCCTGCCCTTCGGGAGCCTGTAGTCTAGTGCGGGAGGCAGATCAATACAACAATTGTAATACCGTCCAGTCAATGCAATGACATTCAGGGGCATCGTGTTCTTCTCTGGGCAGTGCCAAGTAAATCCAATTGCAATAAATAGCTTGCAGTGAAGATCATCTTCAGATAAGGAGGAGTTCAGAATGGAACAGAAGCAGAGCCTTATCTTGGCTCACTGAGTCTTCCATGAGCTGGGTTCTGCACACCATCCCAGCCTCCTCCACTCCACCCATTTGAACTCTAGGCTGTAACCACATAGGACTTTTTAATCTCTCAAATGCTCCCTTGTTCTCTCACTTCCAGCCTTCATACATACTGTGACTTCAACTCAATTAGTTATTCCTTCTTCCAGGGGCTAATTCACATACATCCTGCCCCAGGTTAAATAAAAGCCTTCCCCGGCCCAGCGCGGTGGCTCACGCCTATCATCTCAGCTCTTTGGGAGGCTGAGGCAGGCGGATCACGAGGTCAAGAGTTCAAGACCAGCCTGGCCAAGATGGTGAAACCCCATCTCTACTAAAAATACAAAAAACAATTAGCCGAGGGTGGTGGTGGGTGCCTGTAATCCTAGCTACTGAGGAGGCTGAGGCAGGGAATTCCTTGAACCTGGGAGGCGGAGGTTGCAGTGAGCCAAGATCACACCACTGCCCTCCAGCCTGGGTGACAGAGCAAGAGTCCATCTCAGAAAATAAAAAAAAATAAAAGCCTTCCCCAAAACCCTGGAGGAGGAGCTCTCCGTCACTGTGTGTTCGTTCCCATAGCACTGTGTACCCCTCCTCATTTCATTCAATTTGAATTACATTTCTGGACTTTCACTACTACAGGGTAAGCTCTCCTCTGCAGGGATCTGACTGTAATACTCACTGCTGTATCATATCTGGAACTAAAAGCAGAGGGTAAAGAACTATTAACCTCATGAACTGAAAAGAACACGCAAAGGCATGAGAGGCATTGGAAGAATACCTGAAGGATGTCAGAAGGTATGAGCAACTGGGTAGAAGATACCCAGTTCGTTCTGTTCTCAAATCATACATTTTTCAAATCAACTAAAGGACCTAAAAGGTGGCCTTGTGTGTATGGTTTCCTTTGGCATGATAATTTGGAAGAAACAACTTTATCCAGATGGATTGTAACTAATCCTTGCTAGCTTTTAAAAACCAGAGTGACACCTATGACTATATACCACCTGCTTACAGGATATTGATTGGGATACTAGATCTTCTATCTGCTAATTATTAAAAGTGCCATTACCATCTGCGCTGTTGCTTATGTGATTCTAATTTAAGAAGCTTGCATTGCAATAAAATGTAAAATATTCAATTAAAGATATCTTTAAAAAATACAAAAATTTATAGTGTTCAAATATTGGGGACTTTGTACTGGTAAAGTCATATAATTAATTGCATATAATCTATAACATTATATATAATTCAAGACAAAGTTTAAGAGAGATCTAAAAAGCTAGAATATACTCAGAGTACACAGCCACGATGCTGAAGGCCTAAACACCACGCCATGATAATAGTAGGAAAAAATTATTAACAGCAGTGCAATGGGCAACTGTTGTTTTATCTGCCTAGCACCCATTCCCCATTCTGGCACCAGCAGTCTAAGTCTTGTCTGGATAAAGCCTTTCCCTCCTTACGCTAAACCCACGTATCCTGGGTAGAGCCTTATCCTGGGCTCCAGAAGCAGCTCAGGGCCAGAATGATGGTTGCGGCATGAGGTAGCTGAGCCCATCCAGAACAATGAGGTTCAGCCCTGTGATTTTGCTGGAACTATTATAAAACGACACTCTCCTTCCACTGGGCTCTAAGATACTAGTTTATGGCCCCTGATGTCAATGGCCACCACGTGGGAAGAGCTTGCCAGGAATAAAGCTAAGACAAAGAAATGTCCAGCCATACAACAATGACTTGAGCCCATATATGACCCTTTCCAGCTACACGAACCAACATCTTTCCTCTTTTTGCTTGTGTTGGTTTGATTAAATTTCTATTACTTACACTCTAAATAATCTTGATCTATAAAGTTAGCTTAGAGAAGAACTGCTGCTTTAAAAACAAAACAACTAAAGCTCTTTTTTATGTACTTCTATGAATAATCTTTCTTTGTGCTACTCTACTGGGTAGGATGGTAATAGAAAGGCAGATTCGAGAGCCAAATAAAAAAGTTCTCTAGCAATTAAAATTGCCTAACAATGAATAAAGTTTGTACTCTTTTTCCTAGAAACATTAATACAGAAGCAGTAAGGATCTGTGAGGAATGAGGAGGAAATTAGCTTGTGCTGGACAGAGGGAGAATAAAAATGTCCAAAGAAATTAAGGACCTCTCCAATTCTCTGATTCTTGAACCCCTGGAAAAATGTACCTCTTTAACACCTTTCTTCATTCCTTCTCCCTTCACCAGCAACACACTTTTCAGACTTAGCTCTCATTGAATAATGAGAATCAAAAGGGAAATCCATCTATCATATATAACACACATACTTGCATTATATTAAGCAGACGTACATTCATCTAATTTTAAGCACGGAAGGCAACCAGTATTTCTTTATAATTAATTACATATGAGGTTCCTTATCCATGTTAATTCATGTAATTCTAAGAACCTTGCAAATTCTAAGAACCTTGGCATTTATTTATCCCCATTTTAAGAATAATGCAACAGGGGTTAATACCTCACAATTAAATGCTGTTTCTACCACATCTTGCTGGCTCTTCTTTCCCCCTCTTCCTCTTCCGCCATTATACAGATATGCTAAATATAATGGGTGGTATTTGTATGAAATGTGACATGCTGAGCTCTTACAAACGCAAAACACTTACAAAGCAAGAAAGGCTCCCTGCCCAGAACACTATAAATAGAAAAATAACAGGTTTAGAAACAATTGCTAGCATACATAATTTGACATGTTTTATTTATTTATTATTTAGGAGGGAGAGGGACTATTGGGGAAAAAAATATTGATTATGACACAATCCTTGAAAGACACGTGGCCTTTTAGGAAAAGGACAGAATCCCAGGACTGCAGTGAGCAAGATGAAGAACAATGAAGGGGGCAGAGGGATGAAGGAAGGTTGATGGGTACAAATACACAGAAGAAATAAGACCCGGTGTTGCACTGATCAGTGTTGCATGATCAGTGGGGTGACTACAGTTCACATTAACGGATCATACAATTCCAAATGGCGAGAAGCAAGTAAGCTGAATGTTCCTAGCATAAAGAAGAGATAAACGTTTAAAGTCATGGCTATCCCAAACACCCTGATTTGATTATATGAATGTAACAAATTCTCACGTGTTCCATGAAACTATGTCTATCTAGCCAGGAAAAAAAAGAACAATGAGAAGAGGTGAGAAGCAGAAAAAGTCTAAGGGTAACTGCTTATGTGTGAGCGACTGGACCAGAAGCCAGGAAAAGGCTCCAGGGAAGGCGAGGCAAATGCTGGCCCGCACTCTAATTGTCGCAGAATCGATTT